TCTCCCATGGCAACAACTACCAACGTTCTAACCCCTTAGGCGTTTGTCAAGCAAGAATGGCTGCAACAAGAGGTTACTGATACAAAGGTCCTGAAGATGTCAAGTGTTCACAATCCACGAGATTCCAAGTATTTTTTTTGGTTCAATTCCGGAAGATGTTTTTGTATTCCTAGTATACGTTTCGAGTTCAATTCCGGAAGATGTAAAATATTCCAAGTACCCGTTTCGGTTTCAATTCCGGAAGATGCCCATGTAGGGTTTGGACCTCCAATTCCGTATTCTATGTACTTTAGGATTGCTATAGATTTAACAGAAACACAACAAATGAGTGCCAAATCCTTCAAAACCGCTCCTCAACCACTTAAGGTCTTGGTGTTGTAGGTCCTATAGGTAAACTTGGAGGCCAAAAAGGCACTTGCCACCAAAGCAAGTGTTCACCGAGGTAAATCCCCGTAGAAACCTTGACCCAGCAAGTCCATGATTTTTCAGTCTTGCTTTGGTTTGTACAACGGGGAAGGGCTTGCTAGGGTCAACTGTTCTTTGAGGGTGTAAGAAGAACTGAGGGCCCTCCAGATTTCCATCCAGGTGAAAGCAATTTTGGTCACTAGGGTTGTTGTCGCTGTCCAGCCATCCGGTTTTGATTACTTGCACTCCCCTCTGATGGCTGATTCTTGTTTTTGCAGCATGATAAGGGGCATAGGAAACACAATTAGACATCTCGCACGCCAAGCAAGCCTCGTTAATATATGAATACCTCCATGTTTCTTCTCATATGTTGTGATTTTTTTTTGGCAAGTGTCCCTCCAACACCTGAGCACGCAAAAAACAAAAACAATAACAAAAAACAGCGGAAGAGTTTTTTGGGGGCCCATCTGAAAAAAGACAGTGTTCAGGGCTCCAGGTATACTGCAACTATATCAATCATGGGATTGCCCATAATTGCGTGAGTGGACATGCCCTTGTTGAATATATAATAATCCCGAGTACCTATTAACAAACACTCCCCAATTAAAAAAACACCACGTCCGAACCCCTAAATTCGGTTTATATTTGGTTTTAAATTGCCGCCCTTTCAAACCGCTACTAAACTACCAACATGGTCGATTTTGGGGGTAGTCTTTTTTATTAGGTTCCCCAAAACTCCACCATGACACGCCGCGCTTACACCAGCAGGCTTTCCTTCCCTCAATGGCACGGACTCACGCAAACGCACTTGCCACCGAGGTCATGCAACACCGCATGGCACAGCGACATCACCTTTTGAAAGCTTTAGCTGTTAGTCTACTGAAGAATCACTATTCTAATGAAGGTTTTTGTAGGGGAAAAGGAAGACCCTTCGATCTGGCGGTTTTTTGCATTTTTGATACGAGTTTAATAAAGGATTTTATATAACATTTTCCTGGATTACTTTTGTTTTGAAACTCTTTCCAGGTGACCCTATTTTGGGCCCGAGGTTTTTTTTAATAGGGGGGGGCCCCCGTGTTTATTATTAGGAGGACGGGATTATAGATAGTGTTCCCTGCTTGTTGGTTTAAGTTGTGTCTTCAAACGCAATGTCAAATCAATAGCAACATGATGGTCCTGCGACTCGAGGCATTAGTTGGCATTTGCTTGTCGTGCAAGGCACAGGCAAGACAAAGACAATCACATCTTTGATTCTGGCATGCGCGGCGAATGGCGGCTTAGCTTGACTGATTCCTCACCATTGTCATTGGCTAGGCATTGCATTACCGCATCCTGGTAAGGTCAACGCGTTCTGACCTGTGGCCCGACCAACGTCGCCGCTCTTGAGATTGCGCAACGAACGTGGCAAATGGCCCGCCAGCCGGTTGTTTGTGCTTTTCAGCCACGTGGAACTCATGAAAAAGCAGGGTGAACCATCAAACATGCATGGGGCCAGTGCTCGTCCTTTAATTGCATGAATGTTGTGATAGGACTTTGTGCAAACTTTTCACGACCCGGTCAAGTGCCAGGTGCAACGCGGAGTTGCGCCGGGAAATGTCCGCAAAGCGCAGATTTGCATCGTGGCCAGCGAGGACTGCTTCACGTAGATAGGTAGACAATGATGGACAATTGAACCCCACAGGAGAATCCATGAGCATGTTGTCGAAATCATATCTGACAGTCTGAGCTCATTTAATGGGAAGGATCCCTGATTCAGCTCCAAGCAAATTGCGTGCAACGCGTTTAGATTTCAAACAGGTTGATCATTTGATGATCTCTTTTTGCAGGATCGTGTTGGGATCACCCTCGACCACCCGCTCTCTCCAATGATGCTCGACCATCGAAAGAAGCGTGTGAAACGTGTGGCGAAGGCCAGCTCTCTTGAATTTGGGATTTGTGCATCATGCATTCCCATGCAATCTTGGAGGTTTTGAACTTTTGAAAGGATGCTATGTTCTCAAACTGCAAAGCTGTTGCGGTTCTGAATTCTAGCGTAGAACTAGACTTTGTCACAACCTGATACCATTGCTAGCCTCCCCTGCTTGTCTCGGCTGTCATGACATAATTCCTTGCTTGTCTTCTTCATAATATGGTTGTTGCTTGTCGCATCAACACGCACTGTTGGTTTCTCTCGCTTGCTTCACTCGCACGCTGGAATGAAGGCATATTTTGCCTTTGCCAGTTTGGGGTTGGTGCCACTGGGTGCTTGTGGGATTGTCAACCTTTCAATGGGCCGCAGCGATCCAGGTGGGTTTCCGCGAGCTGGTGCCCATGCTGCGTGACATTTTGGAAAGACCACGGTGGTTCTTCCGACTTTGGCGAACCCTAGCCCTTAGGGGAAACAATGTCCGCGGCCCAGTGAGTCTGGGAACTTGTGCCAACTTTTTTACACCCTGCTGGTTCATCCCTCACATGACGCCTTCATGCAGTTGTATGCATGTTTAGGGGATGCAGGCCTCGGAGAGGCCTCACGGCTGTTTGGCGCTTGCTGGTGCTCACCGTTGTTCCGCACAATGGTTTGAAAAGATTGCCCTCAAGGCTTCATTGACAAGTCAAGGTAACCCGCTACCGTACAGATCTCCTGTGAGGTATGCTTGATTGGGTTGACAATCGGAAGTCAGTATCGCTTAGGCAGAAGACATATATATATTATATATATACAGACATTCTCGAGGCCACAGCCCAGGGCAAGTAATCACTGTGATGATGTAGCCTGCAGCCCAAAGCAGAGGTTGGATGTCCGTAGGGGCTGAGCTTGCAAAGCTAACTGGACCTTGTGGGCATTTGCGCTCACGAGCTGAGGCTGAAACATGGGAGTCTATTGGTCCCAGAGTTGTGCAGACGAAGCCGGGCACTGAGGGTGTGACAACACCCGTGAATTAAGATTACATGATATTACAGGGTAATTTCCTTGTCAGCTTTCGGTCCCTGGCAGGAGAACATACAAAGAGATTGAAGACAGGCGCGATGGATGTCAAGCAGAATGTGACTGTTTCATGTGATACTGATTCGTGCTTGTGTCCATATGGGAACCGATGCGTGCATGGGCATTTTGTCACCAATGAAAATATACTGTGTGTAGTACACATATGTATAGATGCCATCAACTTTGATGGTAGGATTGGCGCGTGCGCACGCGCACACACACTTAGGAAATGCGTACTGAACTGAATGCCACTCGCCACACGGCAACCTAAGTGACCATTCCTAAGAGTACAGGTAAAACAATGGAGCGGAGTGCGACCATCGCGAAAGCTGAAATTCCATGAAATTCCAACATGCCAACATGTGAAAGCCTCCGAGTTGCGACTGCACGACAGGTGAGCTCATTTGCACTTTACTGCAAAACCGAAGCCAAAAGAGAAACTTGTTCTAGGCAAAAGCAGGGACCAGTAGCAAACGGAAGGTAAAACACAGGTACGCTGGGATGATCCAGTCCCAGTATCACCAGGAAAGCGAGAGTGTCACGTACAAATTCAAAGGAATCCCTGTGACACCAAGGGGTTCACACACACGCATCCCACGAGGGAGGCGCGGAGGGACCAAGGTCGGGACAAGTGTGCACGTGTACGCGCTTGGGAGAGCCGCAGCAAGCAGGCAACTAGTAGTTGGTCATAATTGGGCTCCACAGGTCCCAAGTCACCGGTCCCCACTACATAGTCAGTTTGTCAAACAGGCACTGCACACGTTCCACAATGCGGTGCGCAGGCCTTACGATGAATTCCCAGCACCGGGCACTGTCCCTGATGACACGGACGAGGTGGCTTTCCTGTTTTGCGACTCCTTGCGGTAGCGATCAAAGACCCTCAAAAGTACTTCCCCGAAACACCCATGGAGCTTCAGAGATAGTAGGATTCTCTACTGCCTTCGTGTCAGTCAAGTGCGATTATTCCTATTCCTTGCTGCTGAGTATCTTTGAAGCCACCCCGCGTTTACTAGCGGCCGTGGTTTGTTCCCTGCCATGGGCAACCACGGGTGGACGCGAATGTTGCTTATGGGGTTCTGAATCAATTGGATTGGCTATTCGCGAGCAAAGACCCGATGAAACGTGTCGTTTTTCGTCAAGCCGAGCCAAGCCGAGTCAAGCTGACCAGGCCTTTCGCACCTTCCTGGCCACCCAGGCGTTCGAGGCCCGAGGACTGGGCGCATTGGACAAGAGAAGCAGGACGAAACTCAGGCAATTGTATTTTAGATGGCGTTTATGCAGCGAACTTCCCTTACCTGCAAGCAAGATCCATCAAGATCCAACAAGTACCATTGAAATACAACATGTTTGGCTTTCTAAAACATCTTATTTTGTCACTATCATTCAGTTGCCCTACCGAGCACTAACGTCTAAGCATGAACAGCTGGCTTGCACACACAGGCAAATAGAATTTCTGCAGCCAGTGTGTTGGGGTGGCTCATGCTCCAAGATTGAATAGCTTGGCGGTGCTTTTTGCTCTGGTGTTTGTGCCTTTGCAATTGATCCTGAAGAGCCTTGCACAGCTTGCTCAGAAATACACTGATGCCAACAACCGGGGATTCACTGTTTAATCCCTTCAGGAGTCCACTATACTATATTTAGATGAGTCATGATGAGTAGTGATGCGTCCGTTCTGTTTGGTGAGTTCCATGTCCACAAGCTGCTACCTGAAGTTCTTGCCCGCTAGGTGTTGGAACAAATTCTCCAGAAGCAGAAGGAGCATGAATTGTGCGAAGGGTGACTGCAACTGAATCTTTTCCTGCGAAGCCGGAGGACGACTTGACGACCGCAGTTGCACATTTGCCGCAGCACGTGCAAGATCAGGGTGGAACTGGCAATGAAGGCGTTGGGACCTCTTCTAAACATCCGATTTTTTTGCAACAGAGACTTGCAGACGTTCACCTTGGAGACGAGACATTTTTTGGATGTAATAATATGTGTGTAGTGTATGATGTTGTACCTGAGCTGCCTTTTCGTGCAGGGGGCGAGGAAAGGCCCTCCGAGCTCATGCAGCAATTGGAAGACCTCCAGCTGCTTTGCAACGATTGCGCGGGGACAGGGGCACCTCAACCCCCCCTGAATGATAATGGGCTTGCATTTCTTTAGGGCATATACTGTAGATTGCCTGGGCTGAACAACGCGCCCTTCGGCTGTTTGACGCTTGCCATTCAGAAAGAGGTAGAAAGGGCCCTGGAGATGGAACACAGGCCAAGCCCTGCAGAAGGTTATTTGCATACCATGGATTGCCATGGGCCATGAAGTTTCTTTCCTTCCATACCGACTAGATGGCATTGCAGAAGTTGCGTTGAATGCGTATTGTTGCCCTAGGTATTTCTTGGATCGCGTCTACCAGCAGATCAAGGCAAGCTTGACACCTCCTCGGAGTTTGCAGACTCTTTGATTGAGATTTTTTCTCAGATTTCAATCACTAGAGCCGTGGATGTAGGTACTTGAGGGACTGATTTGTTTCATGGACCGTGCGCAGGCTGTGCGAACTGCTTTGCAAAGAGGAACAGTTCCGGATGAGACTTGCCCCAAGGGCCCCAGGGTGGAACGCAAGGTCCAAAAAAAAGGAAGCATCGGGGCAGTGGATGGCAGAGGAGTCAATAAAATAGATAAGCACAGAACGAACAGAATTGAGAACACAGAAGGGAAGGAGTAGTATATAAACCATGTTGAAATAAACATCAGTTCTGTGAGTCTTGTTTGCTCACACAGGTTTCCAGTAAAGGCATGTGGAATGGATATCGTGTCCCTGCATCGGAGCACGATAAGTACAATACTCTTTTTTGGGGGGACTTGAGTGACTCAGCCCGGTGAATCCCTAGTAGCATCCTTTGCTCCTAGTAGTAAGGCCAGACTCCCAGACACCCGTCACCATGACGAAGGGTCTTGGGAAGCGGCAGGACTCGTCCGCAAGTGGTGTGAGTAGTAAGGCCAGGAGCCCCTAGTAGCGTCCTTGCTACTAGTAGCGTCCTAAAAGGCCGGTGGTTGTGATCCCAAGCTCCTGGTTTTGTCTCGGGATGTGCCCAGGCTGATGACGAAAATCCTTGGGCCAACTTCGAAGCAGCGCACGATCTGCAAAGGGCGGTGAACGATTGGAATGTCGCCTGCCACGAGGCGTGGGGAATTCAATCAGAAAGACCGCTGAAGGACTGAAGGACGGTGAAGAGCAGTTCTCCGTTTTCCTAGCCGTTTGGAGCCAAAGCCAGTTCTTATCAGTATGCGCATGGACTGCCAAGTTATCTTTCAAGTGATTGCAATGCGCATAGTGACCTTGGACCTGCAGCCGGACCAGGTGATGAGCTGCTATTCTGAAGAATTGCGAGATCTCATCCTTCAGGGTGCACAGGTGATTTTTTCGACAACAACAGTTGGAGGACAAACGGACAAACTGCTCATGCTAATCTCAGGCATTTGATGTCACAGATCGCAGATGTTACGGGTTCAAGCCGTGCTTTGTGCTCCTCAGCGATGGCCTCCAACCTGATAGCGATGGCCTCCAACGGCCTCCTACTCTGTGCTGTGCTTTGTGGTCTTGTTTTGTTGTTTGTGGGGAGGACGCGCCAAACTGTGGCGACAGCGGATCCCAACAGCTCTTGAGCTGAAGTGAGACACATCCCATAGCTGAAGATGCTGAAGCATGTTCGAATTTTGCACAGCAGGATGCAATCACTAAGATTTGTCGTTTGGACACATGAATTCGACATTGACCCATGCGTATCCATGTCTCACAGCACGTGACCTTCCTATGACTTTGTTGTTTTCCTGTTGCAGCGCTGCCTCATTCTTTGTAAAAGTGATCAGCCTTTCATGCATATGCAGTCTTCAGTGCATCCATCAGTCCATTGTGGTCCATTAATGTTGGCTACTGTGTTGGCTAAGGTGATTGTGGATGAGGCATGTCAGTGCCGCGAGCTAGAAACAATGGTTGCCTGAGGCCCAGTCACTTGAGAACGGGAGAAAGGCTACGACTATATACTTACTCAATGTGCTCTGTCAGAGTGCGATAAGCTGGCATGTGGAAAGACAACCAAGTCACAGTTTGATCTGGTATGGCCGTAGGTTGCCTGAGGCACCTCCACATGTGCTTCTGTTACTCTCAGATGTTACTTTACTTACTTAATACTTGTTTGTCAAGGTTATTTGAATTCAGATCTTGTGCTTGGCCAAGTCAATTTGTTTTCATGAAATCAATATATACAATCTGTTGCCATTATTATCAATTATTCGGACTATCCACCATACTCACCAGACTGCCGAGCACCGGCTCAGGTCATGCGCAGACATGTGCAGCGGTTGATTCTGGTCGGCGACCCGGAGCAGTGACTTGGCCAACCTCGGTGCTTGTCACGAAGGCGAGCTATGTGGCGGAGCGGCCTAAAGTTAGCTTGAGATCTTAGAGGGTGAGCAATAGAAAGACGGATCCTACACCTATACTGATACTACTAGTTATATACCACTGCTAGTGATTAGTAACTAGTACTATCATGCACTATTTGTATGCATCCTTCTGAGCAAGTTCTCATGTGGTGCCACACTTCCACACACTTCCTGGCCCCTGCGACAAGAGGCAGAGAGAGAGAGAGGGGGAGCATGAGAGAGCAAGTGAGCTGTACAATCACGGTGCTCACAACTAAAAAAATTGTATTCATCGCTTGGACTTGGGCTCGTGGCTCTTCATTGAGAGCAAGTGTCTAGGTGAAGGTGTCATCACTGACATATCAAGAGCCTGCAACCTCATGGCGACCTAAGGCTGCCATCCACGGTCTTTTCCAAGAAGGCGTTTGGAGCTGCACTGTGCATATCATGCCAGATTCTTCCTGCCGAGCGCGTTTATATAATATAAATATATATATTGTATAAATATACTATATTTTAAGATTTCTGACTATTATTGCTCCGGATTGATGAGGAGAATCTCAAAGGTGCTTGCTTAAGCGTGCAAGTAGTGCACCATGATTTTTACATGTTATTTTCAATAAGAGATAAAAGTTGGTGTGATTTTGCATGGGAGAGCTTGAATGGTTATTTTTGGACATCGGAACAATTGGGTTAGGTTCACTCTCCACTGGGTTAACTAGCCAGCCGAGGGTTTCTCAGGCCAAAGAGATTGGCTTCGACCGATCCCTCTTTGAGCGATTGATGATCATCGGCAAGGAGAAACACACCTTGGCGAGACAGCTGCATGGCCAATACGGATTGTGATTGCGATGGGCACTTTCAAGCTGTGCAATTGAATTAGAATCAGGGCTGCGTGTGCGGACCTTGAGCCTTTTCATCAATGTTTTCGTGCTTAATTGGTTTGCCAGATTTAAGATTCGCACCCTTTTGTGCAAAACTGGTGGTTGTGGTGCGGGCCCTTGCTTAAGAATGGGTTGAGGATTAGTTTGTCCTATTCACCTCCTGGAGCTATCAGGGTGCAGATGTAGCTTGTTTAGGTACAAGACGGTGGGATCCTACAGTCAACTGTGACTACTCGTAGTTTTCAACACCGGCCGCAGGAAACCATGCAGGGAAGGCCCCAATGTGCACTCTTTCCATAAAATTCGATATCAGAACTGGATGAGCGCCAGAATTGAATGATTTGTGTTTTGTTTTCTATGATATCTTGATCTGATAGAGGTGACATTTTTGGCCGTCCAAGCCAGCTTGGGTCTAAGCATAGCAAGTAAGACCTGTGTGCAGCGGGCTGTTTAGCTCCCTTTTTGCGGTGCAGCCTTTGCAAGAGGTGCCTTCAGGTGAATTTTGTGGCCACAAAGTGGGTTTGGCCCAAGGTACAGAATGCTGCCTTTGATCGCGGACTTCCCGCACCTTGGCAGATTTTGCTCCTCACGCATCTCAAGCATGTTTGTGTCATAGCGGATCTTGTTCTAAAGGAGATGCTTTTTTGACAAAGTCAATGGAGGTGTGGAGTTTGCATGAGTTCATTGTGCTTGGCGGAGTGGCCACAGATGGCTGACATGTGTAGCACTACCTTGCTTCCATGTCGGCTAGGTGAAAAGTTTATGACCGTTGCACAGTATATTTGTCATCATGAATCATAGTTCAGAGCTCGAGGAACAGCGCATTCTACAATGGCGAGGTGGTCAACGATGACGCCAAGCTGCAGTCACAACACCTACCAAGCCCCAGAACCCCCGTACAATTTCACCTAACAGCGATGGCCTCCAACCTACAATTTATACAACTTGCAGCATGTGTCAGATTCAGACACTGACTGGCCCACTCCCACATCAGATACGGCTTCACAGGAGACTGTGCTGCAGATGGAGCGCAGAGTTCAGGAGTGGTGCAGTGTTTGAAGCAGGGGCTTTGAGCTTGGCACAGAATTGTAGCATGTCGTAGCAGAACCGTATTGCAGCTTGTCGTAGCTTGTGTCTCACTCACTCACTCACTCACTCACTCTCTCTCTCTGTCTCTCGTTCCCTCGCTCCCTCCCTCCCTCCCTCGCTCCCTCGCTCACTCGCGGAAGCATACAAGGTGGTAATGCACCAGTTTTTTCACTGATACCGATGCATTTTAAGATGGCCTGGGGTGGTGATGTGAGCATTGGGGGTCGTATTCATTCCTTTTGTCAGGGATTTGCACTACAGCGTTTCTTGAGCTGAGAGTGTTTGATTTGTTTCTCACGGCCATGCAAATTTCACGAGTCCAAAGGTTTTTTTCTGCTAATTGCCTTGTTGATTGTCTGCTATTTGCTGACATGAGCGGGATGGAGTTGTAGGACTATATCTATGCGCCTGACGACAAGTGGAATTTCCACACGGCCATCCGAGACGCGGCTGCAATAGGGAATAACCGATCCATGTTTGTCTACTTGTTTATGTAGATAGTAGGGTGTTCTCATATGAACTCATGACATATGCTTCCGAACTGTTGCACGGATTCCATGGCAAGATAGACTGCTGGCCACGAGGCCATAGTTGTTTTGCGTTCACTTTTGCAAGACGTGAGCACAGCGAAACTCTTTTAAACCAGTCGTGCGATGATGATGATGATGATGATGATGATGATGATGATGATGCATAATTGAAGGAATTAGTGTACCAGTGCACGAGCTTGATGGTAATGTAAAAAAAAGCTAGCCATGGCTGATGGCATGAAACAGCCAGCCACCATGCAAGTGTTGTGACATCGACATGTCGATACATGTGCGGGGATTTGGCGATTTGGTCTGGGTTCTGCACTGCACTGCACGCTGTTTTGAGCCCAGGCCTGTATGACACAGGGCCTGGAGATTACGAAAAACAGGATTTTACCAATGTGGCAATCTCAAACCCAGAGGAGGCTGATCAAGTGCCCTGACAGGTGATGGGTGGATTCATTGGTCGCACATGCAGGTGTGAGGTGGATAAACCCAACCCCCTCCAAGAAATACGAAGAAAGATCCGTGTATATCCAGTATTTTCCATAATTGCATCATGTACGGATTCAGCAACAAAGTTAAGGAGCTCCTGGATGCTGCCTGGAATTGGTCTTGCTGTAGCACTTCTTAGCAATGGTGTATGTATTCTTTGGGTGGATTGAAATGGGCTGCCGCGGAGTCTTGTACCTTTTGTTGGCATCCCTTAGGAAAAAACGCTGAACAAGCAGCACTCCAATGGTCATTTCGCATATGTTTCCCAAAGAACCAGGTTTTTCTGGGGTGGGCAAGCCAGCCATTGTGAAATGAGCTACTGTGGTTGAACTTGTGTTCTTGGAGGGGCATCTATCTACACTTTCTGTATAATTACAGTGCAACTTCTCGCTGCTGGCTCGCGGCTCGAATCTGCTGGGCCATTTGGCAAGTGGCCACTTAACTTGCTTGAGCTCAGTCAGTCATCAACAGCCAGCAAAACTCTTCAGCCATCAGATGGCCTGCAAGATTGACAACATGTCGCAACAGTCACAGGGAGGCATATTCAACATTGGGTGCAAAGATCAACCTGATGTGAGCCAAATCAGCTCAGACCACCCATCTTGGCCTTGCCAGTTCCAATTCCAGGCCGTGCTGTGGCCGCCAGGCTGGGAAGAATTCACACGTACCGGAAGACATGAAGTAGAGGACATATTGACATATTGCTTGTCCAAGGGCGCGTTCACCCCTGCCTGCGGCCAGTTCTGCCGGTGGCCGCCCAAGTGTCCACGTGCATGTTCAGTGCATAATTATAGCCGAGCAAAGGTGTCGCGAAGTGACCATTTGTGCCGTGAGCACGGGCAGGTTCTCCATGAAGAAGGGCCCGAATAAAGCGGCCAATGCGGGTCCAGTACACAAAGAGACGACAATGTCCGTTCAGGCATGAGATTTTGTCGTGGTCAAAGGAAGTTTGGGGTGCAAAACTTCCGTTTTACGGAATGTCAAAAGCTATTACTACCACCACTACTACCACTACTACTACTACTACGACTACTACTACTACTACTACTGTACTACTACTACTACGACGACGACTACTACTACTGTACTACTACTGTACTACTAGTACTGTACTACTACTACTACTACTACCATACTGCTACTACTACTGCTGCTACTACTACTACTCCTACTACTACGACTACTACTACTACTACTACTACGACCACTACTACTACTACTACGACCACTACTACCATACTGCTACTACTACTACTACTACCACCAGTACTACTACCACCACCACCACCACGACTACTACTACTCCTACTCCTACTCCTACTACTACTACTACTCAGCCTTAGCTCCAGTCTCCAGTCAGCTCTAGCTTTAGTTAGCTCTAACTCCAGTCAGCTGTAGCTCTGGTCAGCTCTTCAACATTCATTTTGGAAGGAAGTCTCGTACAAAATGCGTGTTCGAGAGATAGCGGACGCACGAAATGCTTTGTTTGTCAATTAATACAAAGGGAACTACAAAGGGATACAAAGGGTGGTTCCGAACCCGGCAAGGCTAGCTCTGCGGAACGATGCGCTCGCGTCATGCTCGGATCATGGTCGAATCGTCCCTCCATTGTGATTAGAATTTTCGCTTGTTTCTTGAAGTGCAGATTTCGTGGCAGGCACAGCACTTGGTGAACCTCGAAGTGTCGATTTCGTGGCAGGCACAGCACTTTGTGAACCTCGAAGTGCCGATTTCGTGGCAGGCGCAGTACAAAATGCGTGTTCGAGAGATAGCGGACGCACGAAATGCTGTGTTTTTCAATACAAAGGGATACAAAGGGTGGTTCCGAACCTGGCAAGGCTAGCTCTGCGGAACGGCGGTTGCGGAATGGCCTCGGATCATGGCCGAATCGTCCCTCCATTGTGATTAGAATTTTCACTTGTTTCTTGAAGTGCAGATTTCGTGGCAGGCGCAGCACTTTGTGAACCTCAATGTGCAGAATTTCGTGGCAGGCACAGCACTTGGTGAACCTCGAAGTGCAGATTTATGCAGATTTTTTTTTGGCAGGCACAGCACTTGGTGGTGAAAATCGAAGTGCAGATTTCTCTGCAGGCACAGCACTTGGTGAACCTCGAAGTGCTTTTTCCCCAATGCGTAGCGAAGGGTTCTCGTTTAACTCTTGGGGGTCTGGGGGTAGAGCCTTGTTCGCGATCCGTTGTTTCTACGTCCGCAACCGTTCGCAACCGTTCGCGGTAGAGCGCTAAGGCGCTGCCATTGGGGGAAGCTTTTGCAAGTGACTATTCATGGATGTGTCACGTGTCAGTTTGCGGCGCTATTCCATTGTGATTTGCATGAAAAAGACATGTCGCGCAAGCAACGTGATGCGTCTCGCTGCACAGGCGCAGCGTTGGTGAGATCTGCAGATTGCTGGGCAGTTCCATTGGGATTAGCGTTTGGAGAGTCGTGTTTTTGGGGTGTTGGATGTGGCCGTGTCATTAGGATTTGCGTTTCAGGGTGTGGCATCGAAGCTCTGTTTTCGTGACAAGTCTCAGCTGAAATGCCGATTTTGGTGGATAGGAGTGTGCTCAGAACGGGTCGAAATCACTCCAAACGTGTGGTGTGGTGCAAATTTTGTTGAAGCTCACGTGAGATGACATTGTTACTTTTCGTGGCAGGCGCAGGACTTTGTGCGGGTTTTGAGGTGTGGAAGTGGGATTTTCGTGGCAGGCGCAGGGAATCGTGAGGTTGCGATGTGTGACAGAGGTGACATTTCGTGGCAGTACTTTGTGCGCGTTAGACGTGTGGACGCGGAAAGATTCGTGGCAGGCGCAGGGAATCGGGAGGTTGTGAGTTGTGGTAGAGGTGAATGTCGCTGTCACATTGAGATTGGCGTGTGAGCGGGTGTCGTTTGGAGGGGCTGGAATCGCGAAACTGCTTGGCAGGGCTGCGTGATGTGTGTGCTCCGATGGGTGTTTCCGCTGGACTTTTGGAGGAAATCTCGTGCGAAACGTTCGTTTTGCAGAGTTTGACGTGTGAGTTTTTGAGGAAGTCTCGTACGAAACGCTCGTTTTGGGGACTTGACATGTGACTTTTGGAGGAAGTCTCGTACGAAACGCTCGTTTTGGAGACTTGACGTGTGACTTTTGGAGGAAGTCTTGTACGAAACGCTCATTTTTGAGACTCAGAGTGTCCTACAAGAGTGGGACCACAAGAGTGTCCTACAGGAGTATCCCACAAGAGTGTCCTACAAGAGTGTCCCACAAGACTTTCCCACAAGACTTTCCCGTATGAGTGTCCCACAAGAGTGTCCCACAAGAGTGTCCCGCATGTCCCACAAGAGTGTCCTACAAGAGTGTCCCACAAGAGTGTCCCGTATATGAGTGTCCCACAAGAGTGTCCCACAAGAGTGTCCCACAAGTGTGTCCCACAAGAGTGTCTGACAAGAGTGTCCCATAAGAGTGACCCACAAGAGTGTCCTACAAGAGTGTGCAACAAGAGTGTCCCGTAAGAGTGTCCCACAAGAGTGTCCTACAAGAGTGTCCCACAAGAGTGTCCTAC